AAAAAGGGGGGGGGCCAAATTGTTCAATTTTTTGGGGTTTTTTAAAAAAGGGTTTTCCTTCCCCCCCTTCGGGGGGCCCCGGTCAGGGCACCCTTTTCTTTTTTTTCCCCCCCTCAGGGGGGAAAAACAGCCACGGTTCCGCCCCCCCCCTGGGTCGGGGCGGGGGGGGTGGACCTTTGAAAAGACCCCCCCGTCAGGGGGCCAATTTTCTTTTCCCCGGGGAATACCGGGGGCCACGCCGGGGGGAAAGGGCCGGGGGGAAAAGGGGGGGTTTCCACCAGGGGTTAGGGCGGGGATTTAAAGGGGTCGCCTTCGCCCGGGGTTTCCGGAAAGGGTTCCCCGGGGGACCACCGCCAGGGGGTTAGTTGGGGGGGCCGGGGGGGGGGGGGGGGGTACTCTTATGTTTTGCGTACCTTAGCGGCTAGACCATCGACCCCACCCGTTCTCGAGAGGACGGAGCATTGTTCCCACAGGACCAGTCACCGATGGCCAATCGTTCCTTCCTACTTTGCCAAAAGTGGTCGGTCGAGGAGGGGGGTCTTTGGGTGGCTGCCGGTTTTGAGGCGATGTGTCGGTGATTTTCCGTATTCGTCGTGGTTGTTGTTAATTGTTTTTGCTTTTGACCTTGTTTTTTGCCGAAGTTGTTGTTATCATCGCGACCTACGCGCTTCTCTTGACCACCATACACTGAGTAACTACTATGCCCCCCGTTCTCCCTATTAATAGGGATCCTGTGTGAAAGGAAGCGACCGCCATTGGAGAACCCAAATCGCCGAAATTGTTAGCACAAAAACAAAAAAAAAGGGGGTTATCCTTAGGTACAGCCTCGACCGGAGTCAGTGGTGTTCTTGCGATGTGCTTCGTTCCGTGCTTGTCACCGACTATATGCATACGATGCAGTTCAAAGATTAACGGTACTCGCGAGCAACAACGCCTGGCGATCCAGACCCCTCACTCATTGCATGCTCTTGTGCCCTCCGATGCCCCCCCCCCCCCCCCCCTTTCCTCCCGGGTTTTTTGGGGTGCCGGGGCCATGGGCAAACCACCACCGGCTGCCCCAATATAAAAACCCCCCCCCCCCCCTCCCCATTAAAGGTCCCCCCCCCCCCCCCCTTAAAGGCCTCCCCCATTTTCCCCCCGGCCCAAATTTTTCCGAAGAAGAATACCAAGGTCCCCGCTTTAAAAAAAAAAGGGAAAACTTTCCCCCCCTCCCAAAAAAAAAGGCGCCCGGGGGGGGTGGGGAAAAAAATTTTTTCCCCCCTTTTTTGGGACGGGTTTTGGGGGAAG